CAGTCCCACCCCTCCACCACCCCCACCTCCCTCCCCTCGGAACTCACCACACTTCCGGCAAGATGCCGCGACTCAGCCCATCCACGCCCCCACCCCTCGTCTTCTCACTGACTCACCTCCGGTGGGCCAAAGAATGCGAACCGCGGCCTATCTCCCCCCCGGGCCCCCCCCCCCCGCCCCCCCCCCCCCCCTCGCCTGCAGCCGCCGGCCTCATCGTCGACCCCCTCTCTTCTACTCCCCTCCATTAGCGACCCCTTTCATGTGGTCTTTAATAGACGGTTGGGTTCGCTTATATACCATCACTGTTCTCCGCTGCATGACTGGATTCAATTCACAGTAATGGAACACATGGCTTCAGTTCCAAAACGCCTGCAGCCACCACGCAGGCATCCTTTCGCCGCGTGAGGATGACGGTGAGGCAGGGAAGGGATATAGGTTAGCGCCGCCGCCGCGAAATTAATCTCAAGTCGAGAAGGGTTCTTGCTGTTCTTCGTTATTCTTCCCCATCATGCAGGTAAGCAATTTTATTTATTATTATTATTTAAATGATTCTCCATTATTCTATGTTGGAAAGATAATATAGATTATTTTCGAGAATCTCAATCAAATTAAAATTGAACCAATTTCAGCGAGCTTATAGTCAAACTGAGCGTCTCGGAAATACGGATCCAACGACACCAAATTCAACCCAATCCGAGCCCAAATGGATCCAAATCAAGGACCCGAAGCGTTGTTGGAAGGTTCGAATCACAATTTGAGTTATCAAACGGTCTCTGATTTTAACGAGCTTGTACTCGAATTGAACGACTCGACGAGACGAATCCAACGAGCCCAAGATCACTGAATTCTGACATCACTAAGGCCTTCAAATGTCCAACGAACAGTGCACGATCATGGGATTCGATATCGGCCATCCATTCAGCCACTCCCTATTTGCCCCTGATCTCACACCTATTTACAAGCTATGCCACTCCAGAAAATCTATAAATAGACCCCTCATTCCTCATGAAAAGGGGAGGAAGTCAAGAGAGAAGAAGGAAGAGAAGGAAGAAAGCTCCTGCCGCCTAGCTCCTCCTCGAACCACCAAGGGACGCCAGAGTGCTGCTGGACCACTACCTGACAGTGGAGTGACGTTGGACTTTTGTAAAACTCTCAGTTGATATCTGTAATCTGGTCGTCTTCAAGGACAAGTCAGACCATTGTACTTTCCTCAAATTTTTGTGGAATCATCTTCAACTGGGCTAGGCCCCGTGGTTTTTTCCCTTTCCGGGTTTTCCACGTAAAAAATATTGTGTTCTTTGTGTGTGAGCTGGATATCCGTGCAAAGCTAAGACGTAGAATTATAACTCTATCGCCGCGTATATTCTAGCCCGCAACAGACAAAAATCTTTTTAAGGGATCATTTAGTTGTCTGTAAAAATTGAATAGAATGTTAAAAAAAATATTTGAAGTTATTTGGATAAGTGAAAAAGAATTGTAATTTTTTTAAGTAAAGTGAATATAATGTAAATTGTAAGAAGATTGTAATGCGGGGGCCTCCGGCTAGTCGTAGGAGCGGACGGGGCCGGGATGAGCGGCGATCGTTGGGCTGCGGTGGTAAGGAGGCCGGTGAGATAGTGGGTGCCGTGGTTGGTCAAGGAACTTGAGAGATAATAAGTGTTCTTGTTTAAATTGGACGAAAGCATGTTTCCTTAAAAAAAAGGGCTAAAATGAATATACTGCATTTATTTTACTTTAAATTTGTTTTTCATTCAATGAAATACCAAAAAGTAAAAAAAGTAATGCATTTACTTTAATTTGTAGTTATTTTTCTTCCAACCAAATAGCCCAGAAGTCTAATGACTATTTAAAAAAAATCAGCAAAAAATGAAAGTGGTTCAATAGAAAACTATAAAGCTCAAGCAACGAAGAAGATACAAAACAAAATATGCTCTAAGAAAATACAAAACAAAATATGCTCTAACAAAAGTAAATACAGGATTATAAATTCAGAATGGCCAAAAATATACCCAGGCTTGTAATAACATTAAGTGATGCCCTTACGCCATCCAGTGGTAGCAAAATGGAGAGATTATTAGGTGCGGAGGGCGGACGGGGAGAGCCGTCCGCACAAGCATTGAGTACCTAGTGGTACCCGTACTCGTACCGCTGGGTACCGCTAGGTACCCAGTACTTGTGCGGACTGTGCGCACTCCGCACCTAATAATTTTTCAACAAAATGACCGAGCGGTATGGGAGTGAGATACTCACTCATCATTGTTCCAATGATGCTTGGTTTTCTTGTATTTACACGATTTTTTATAAACATATAAATACAATAGACGAAAGAATCTAAAGCATTCCTGATTTTCTGCTAAATGCTACTTGCAGTAGTTTGATCATTGGCTTTGTTGCACCTTTGAATATTCACGGCGGTAGAGAAATATAAAGGTTAACGCCCTAATTTTGAATGAAGATTGAACACAAATACAAAGATATATAAGTAGGGTGTAACGTTCATAAGAGACACAATAGTTTTTACGTTGAAATCCCCGGAAAGGGGGAAAAACCATGGAGCCTGATCCATTTTGAATGAATCCACTATTGTTTGCAGTCGATTACAAATGAAGACCTTCACTGAGGGGAAAGCCTTAGCTTGATATAACACATATGCATCATATAGAGTGCATTACATAATGGGAGTTAAAAGGATTAGTATTGACATATTCGTTTGGTCGATAGGCCAATAGTCAGCGAGCAATGTAAGTCGGGAGGATCGTAATCGGATGATGGTACTTGGAAGAATCGTAGTCGGTGGGAGACAGTGGTCAGAAAAATTGTTGTCTATTAGTGGAGGTTGGCAAGACCATAATATGACGACATAGATCAAAAGTGCTATAGTCTGCAAATGACAGTGGTCAAAAAGATCGTTGTTTGGGGACGAATGTTGGAAGGGTCGTAGTCCTGCGACAGAGGTCAAAAGGACCGTAGTCGACGAGTAACATTAGTCTGAAAGTTCGTTGTCTAGCGACAGAGGTTTGGAAGGATCGTAATCTGGCGATAGAGGCCGAAAGATCCGTAGTCGACGGGCGACAATGATAAGAAAGACTATTATCTAGTAACGGATGTTGGAAGGACTATAGTCTGACGACAGAAGTAGGAAGGACAGTAGTTAGCATGCGACAGTGCTAAGAAAAATTGTTGTCTGGCGATGGAGGTTGGAAGGACCGTAGTTGGAGGGTGAAAATGGTTAAAAAAATTTTTGTCTAGCAAAGGTTGAAAGGACAGTAGTTTGGCAACAGATGGCAGACGGATCGTAGTCAGCGATGTTGGTCGGAGAAAACATAGTTTGCAACGATCAATAGTTGTGCTGGAGTCCGACAAAGTCCGACGATAGTTGATGGCAGGGTAGAAGTCTGACAAAAATCTAACAAAGGTTGTCGAACAAGTGCAAGTCCAGTAGTGGTTGAGAAGGACTCCGACGATGGTCGATGAACGAGCGGAGGTCTGGCTGTGGTCGGGAATCACTCCGGCGATAGTCGGGAAGAACTTCGGCGGTGGTCGACGAACGGACAGAGGTCCAGCGTTGGTCGGGAAGAACTTCGACAGTGGTCAACGAACGGGTGGAGGTCCAACGATGGTCGGGAATAACTCCGACGATGGTCGACGAATGGGCGAAGGTCCAGCAATGGTCGGAAAAAACTTTGACGGTGGTCGGCGGTAAACAAACTCCCAGACTCCTCCCTTTTTTTCTCTTCTTCCTTTCCCTCTCTTGAGAATAATTGGGGTTATTTATAATTTTTTTAGAGTGACATGCATGACTTGTAAATATGATGAGGATCAATTTCAAAATATGAGTGGTTTGAATGGACAACCAATATTGATCCCTTTGATCGTTGATCATTTGAATGTCTTAATGATATCAAAATTCGACGATCTTGAGCTCATTGGATTCATCTCGTTGAGCCGCTCGATTTGACTATAAGCATGTTAAGTTTAAAGTTTGTTTGGAAGCTCAAATTTACTTTGAAGTTTGAACCATCCAAATATGCTTTGGACCCTTGATTTGGGCTCATTCGAGCTTTGATTTGGCTGATTTTGGTGTCTTGGTTCTTCTTTTGAAGACTTCCATTCGACTATTAGTTTGCTGAAATCGGAGTTTGGATATTAGCAAATTTTAATTTTGAAAGCTTTTAACTCAATTTTATCTTGAGATTCGTGTCTGATGACAAATTTTTTGTGACATATCAGGCTTGATTAAGTACTCAAAATAATAAATTAATGCCCGGAAAATATTCGATTCATAAAGAAATAATTGCATGTGATGAAATCAATAAAACGATCATGTGATTGGACATTAATGCATGTACGTTAAACGACCCAATCCAATAATTGAAGCTATAAAATATACAAATTGATCAGGAATTCTATGCACGCCATATGAAAATTATTTACATAAACATCGGTAGAGAGAGAGATCGAGAGGAGAATTTTTGAATATGGCATCTAAAATATCATTATTTATATAATTTTGCAGTTCTCGCAAATAGTCATCTTCAGGAGAGATTATTACGTGCAGAGTCTGGATCATAGTTGTGTTCGATTTTTGTGAGTGTGCGCAGTAAAAAAATACAATAGTGCATACTCACAGAATCCGGACACCGGACAGCTCTCCCTCCCGAGCTCTGCACATAATAAGCTCTCCGAGAGAGAGAGAAAGAGAGAGAGAGATTGTAAAGGCTTGTTAATGACCGGTAGGACCATTGTTGCTGAAGAGCAATGGGACCATTGGCATGGTGATGAGGGGAGGGTATTTTATTTTATTTGAATATTTTGAGTCTTATATATGCAAAATCCCCACATACATATGAGATTAATAAACGATAAACTAAATAATAATATATTTTTTTAGCTGTTGCAGATTGTAATGTGGGTGGCAGCTCCGGCTTTAATACGTGAAGGATTGATAACAACAGTAATGGCTGTTCTCCTGATAATGTTCCTCTTGCAGTATATCCCTAAGGTTTACCATTCTGTGTGTTTTCTCCGCCGAACACAAAATTTTTCTGGCTACATCTTCGGCACAATTTGGTGGGGGATTGCTCTCAATCTGATCGTTTATTTTGTCGCATCACATGTGAGTATATATATATGCTTATTAATTATTTTTACTTGTATTTTATTTCTTCATAATATTTTTGCTCGCTCTTGAAAACTTTTCTTATGAGTTCTCTGAAGAAAATAGTTTTACTGTTTGACTGATAATATTTTTCTTTTTGGCGACATATTTGTAACTCATAATAACAACATTATCATCATCATCATCGACTTCTACAACTAATCAGGTTTTTGTTATGCATGCGATCCTTAGTTTGTTGAACTATCTTTGGTGAGACAACTTACTATCATCCATCTGATTCCCCTGAGAAGAAGTTCTGATGAGCTTAAGACCATCCGCAACCGAATGCTAGATAGGCATATGATGTTCGCCAAACGATTCAACTGAGCGTCAATTAACCCGCTAATTTTCGGGAGTTAACGATGTGAAAGCTGAGACTTGCCATATTGGCATCACATTGTTCACGCACGCAATTTTTTTGTTTAAATTCGAAAATTAGGTTATTAATATAAAATAAAGTATGAGAAAGAATATACACATAAATTTTCTTTTTTGACGTTAGAAAATATAGTTCGGTTGGAGACGAGTTATTGCATTTTGGAATGAAAAATGAGTTTTTCGGTTGTAGATGGCCTATAAGGTCATTGCTAGGTAGAAATCTTAGAACTTAGGGTCTCTTTCAGATGATTTTCCAGCAATTTTATTTTTTAGATAATAATCATATTATTTACTGCTTTCTCATAATTTTTTAGACCTTTTTATAATGAAAAACAGTTTTTTGTAATCATAGTGGTTAAATTATTTTCCTCATAATAATTCTAAGAACAACTTTATAAAGCACTGCAGCTGTCTTAAACAAATCCTTAAGCTGTGCACGAGCCACCTGCAGCTGTTGCCATGCCAAATCATAAAAGTTAGTCAAGTATTAATATTGTTCTCTTCCTCCTCCTGCTCAGAGAAGCCTAGCTGGTAGTCATCCTAAGAAGAAGAATCATAGCCACTACAGGAAAACCCGGTATTACCGGCGGATAAAATCCGCCGATAAGATGTGAAATCCGACAGAAATATGGGTTTTCGGTGCATGTTCAGGCGGAATTTCATGCTCCGGTTTGGCTCGCGTCGGTAAATATCTTTCGACGTTTATAATGCTCCGGAAAAGTTTCCGGCGCATCACCGGCGTAAAACCATCGGCGCATAAACCTAATCTGACATTTCTTGGTTCTGCCGCGAATGTGGGATGTGTACGATCAAAGTGCCTCCAAGCCTCTGCTTCTGATGGATGTGTGATAACACCTTCTTGTGGAATGTGATCATTATGATATCTCATATGTGCAACAGATCTCATGGATGCATATAGCCGTTGTAGTCTCGGAATTATTGGAAAGTAGAACATCCTACTAACAGGCACATCCTTCTACTTCCTTCTATTTTCAGATTTTGGTTTAAATCTTGGTGCATTGCAATGACGGCAAGCAATTTCTGAGATATCTTCTTTAAAGTATAACATGCATCCATTGACACAACAATCTATCTTTGTGTATGTCAAACCAAGTTTGGAAACTAACTTCTTTGTCCGATATAGATCTGTAGAAATTAAATTATCTGTCGGATTGATTTCCTTAAGCAGCCCAATGAATTGATTAAAACATTAACGAGCAACATTATATTCAGCCTTGATGCTTAACATATTCACATCAACAGATAATTATGAGTGAGTCGTGCACCCTTTTACAGATTGGTTGCTGGGCAGCATGCAATAAATCATAAAAATTTTGTGCCTCCGTATTCGGTAACTCTTTTGTATTTTGTTCAGTTTATATTCCAGTTGCATCATGAACTAATTCCTCAAGATTTGGTCGGATATTTTCAGTCTCATCAATATTACTACTTGTAGAAGGACCGCATTGATAATCAAATTGTGGCTCATACTCATCATCAGAAGTCCAATACCAATATCGTGGCATGAATCATCTGCGATAAAGATCAACAGTTACATCATCTGGTTCTAGGTGCATGCACTAGATTTTTGTGTTTAGAACATGAACATCGAAACTTTCCTTCTGATATAAAGCTGGGTAGTTGTTTCGCTTGCTGAATGAAAATGTTCACCCCATTAATGAATTCATCTGTTAATGTCTTTCGAGCTTGAGATGATTGGTTATACATCCAACTTCTTTGATTTCTAATATCCATAACCTACATATAAGAGCAAATAAGTAATGGATTATCGCGCTTAAGTAGATCTAAAACTGATTATATATAGATGTAAAAAGATAGGGTGCTTGTAGAAAATTATGATCATTTAGCATTGTCTCTAAGAGTAAAGACACTCATTCACATACATGAGCATCCTCATCTCTGCAATAACTTTCTATCAATCACACAATAGGCCTGAAGCATTGTCTCCATTTAGCTTTGTCTCTAAGAGTAAAGACACTCAGCCTAGCATCCTCATCGATCTCTAATATACCCAACTTAATTTTTTACTTCTCTTTTAATGGCCAACATTATGTGACATAAAGCATTGCAGGTCTCACCACCATTTATAGATTTTTTTTTTTTAAGTTTGAGTGGTACTTTTCTATCATACAACAGGTTTGATGTATTCCTCCACTTTAACCAAACAACTTGAATTTCACTATCACTTATATCTAAAACATGTATTCTTATTTATGACTTGATCGCCCAAAGTCATAATCCCCCCACTAGCTAGAGCTATCAGTATTAAAATTACATTCTATGTATTCGGTTTTATATATTCATTACATTGCATTGTAACAAGTTTTGGACAAACTAGGTGCTGGGTCATCTTAAAACCTTTAAATTATCACATTTAAAATTGCTAGGAGCTATCACATTTTAAATTACATTGCTATGAGATCTACTCAAATGAAAACCTTTAAACTCGAATGTTGACCTCCATTGTTCAAGTTTACCTTAACTTCGTCTCTAGTCTTATCAGCAAGAAGAATATCATCAGCAAAAAGCAAACACTACGGTACATCCTCTTGCAAATGTATGGTAAGAACATCCATGGATAAAGCAAAAAAAACATCCATGGCTAAAGCAAAAAAGATTTGTGCTTAAACCTAATCATTTATGTAATCCAACTGAAATAGGAAAATATTTCGTCAAACGAAACGAAAAAAAAACCTTCCGTCGAGATGAACTACCGTCGGCGAAGATGAACGACCGTTGGCGACTAGGAAAGCTAGGGTAGGATCCTTGGCGAAGTCCGGTGACCGTCGGCAAAGTCCAGTGACCGTCGGCAACCTTGATCTACGGCGAGCGACGGATGGAGACGAGCGAAACATGCGAGGCCGTGAGAGAACGGAAGGAAACAAGTGAGCGGCCAGAGGGGCTCGGTCTCGAAAAATAGGGTTTTCGCCGGCGGATTTTCCGGCGTCAAATACGCCAGAGACAATTCCGACGCATTATGCGCCGGATTTATTTCGTTGAGTTTAAATACACCGGCGCCATATCCGCTGGTGATTTTCCGCCGTAACGTGTGAAGGAACAAGTGGAATGTTGGTTTATACCGACGCCCATACCGGCGCAACGGACGCCGGAAATATTCCATCGTAATATGCGCCGGAAAATGCGCTGTAACGTTTCCGTCGCACCAAAGTGCCTTTACATGCGTCGTTCTTTACCGACGCATCATTTCCGCCGGAACGTCCGACGATAATCGCATGTTTTCCCATAGTGAGCTCTCATCCCTGCTAGAGATCTACATCTTTTGTATCTCTGAGCTCTCCCTCTTAGTGCCATACACATGCAAAGAAAACTAATTAAAAATAAATTAGATAATTTGAAAAATTGGAAGTGTATTTCTTGCTAGTGAATGCCAGTAAAATTATATAATTTTTTTTTTTTTTTTTTTTTTTGCTCAGTGATCATCTTCACCTTACTCGTGGTTCAATTACATGGCACTTATTCCAATCCTTGAAATTATTTAGGCTCATGAAAATTATCTCAGGCTCTCTTAAGCGAGAAATTATTTGTACGGATGTCGAACGCAGTTTACCGTATGGAGACCAACCAGAATGAGTCACATCAGCGGTACCAAGCGGCCCTGAGTCAGGTACCAAGCAGGGGGTGACATGACGCATTCTGATTGGTCTCCTAACGACATTCGACATCCGCACAGAATAATTTTTCCTCTTGAGCGGCCTATCTCAGGATCAATTTAGGGACATATCTTAGGAACTTTCTCGGGTTTCTTGTAAGAATGCATAATCAGACTAAAAATCATCTTCAATTGTTAGTGTTTGCATTTAAATTTATTTATTTTACTATTCTTACAGCATTAATATTATCATGATTTTCCTATTGGAGTATATTGCATTAAAGTTTTTTTTTTTTGAGATATTTGAGTCAATTAAGGCAAAGTCACACACACAACACATATGGAAGATTCAAACCCAATATTTTTTAATTGATAGCCAAAGCTCTCAACTAATAGATCAAATTGGCCATATTAATGCACCAAAGTATGATGTAAATTCACATAGCCTGCAAAATCACAAGACTTTATAGTATTATGGTTTGTCTACTCAGTAAATTATTGTGGGAAATATCAATCTTATGCACATTCTCTTTTGTTACTTTATTCCATTAAATGTATCATGGCGTCTAATTTTGACAGCCATAGAGTTAAATCTTTGTACTTTATTAGAGTAAAATTTGAGGGGTAATAATATAAGATATAGACTTTATTTGGGACAACTTTCTTACTGTTTTCTAAAGATATTTTTTAGTATGAAAAAGCTATTTTTGAAAGTAATAAGAAAGTCATCTCAAATGTAACCATAAAATGAGAAAAAGAGCTGCGAGTGGATACAAAGTTTTGCTAAATATTTGTGTAGCATGAAGTGTTCGATGAACTTTTTTATAGATTTTTCATGTTATAATAGACCTCTAAAGAAATGGCCCAAACATAAAACATAAATTTTCTCAAAATTTAGAACTTCCATACATGTTTTTAATAATTTTTCTTCATAAATGAGTGCCAAGGATGCCTGTTTATAGATTTGGTTAAGTAATTATTTAAGGATAGTTAATTTAGAGATTCAGGCATTCAGCTTATCTAGGATCCTATTTCTGATCATAGAAACTCCTAAAAAAGCCATCTTGGATGCTCTCTCAAAATTATGAGTTAAAATCATCCCATTTAAGAAGCTATATCTTACCTTTCATATATGTAGAAATTTAAAGTTGAAGATCTTTTTCATGAGATTATTTGGGTACTATCTTATTTAAGTTAATTCAATTTAAGATGTGATTTCAAGAGGTAATATATATATATAAAATTGCTAATCGTATACAATATTTGTTCTTACACGAAAGGCGGTAGGCGCATGCTGGTACTTGCTAGGAATTCAAAGAGCAGCGAAATGCCTGAAAGAGCAGTGCTCATTGTTAGCTGCAACAGACGGATGTCGTCGTCAAACCGTCGCCTGCGTCAATCCCATCTACTACGGCACCACAAACTCACCGATCACTGGCAGAGATAGACTAGCCTGGGCTAACAACTCCCACGCAAGAGCTACTTGCCTTGACAGCAGCAACAACTTCGAATATGGCTCCTATAAATGGACTGTCTCTCTCGTCACCAACACAAGCCGCCTGGAGAAAATTCTTCTTCCCATTTTCTGGGGCTTAATGACTCTCAGGTGAAGAAGAAACTACATTTCTTTTAAAAAGCTTTTGTCTTTGCGATCAACTATTGCTTACTTGATCGGAAACATGTTTATCAGCACATTTGGAAACCTGGAGAGCACAACGGAATGGCTGGAGATCGTCTTCAACATCATCACAATAACATCTGGTCTCGTCTTGGTCACCATGTTGATTGGAAACATAAAGGTTATGGTTCATCATCAAATGTGTTTGATGAAATGTCAACAGAAGCCATCGTTTTAGTTTATTATTCATTGCAGGTTTTTCTGCACGCGACGACTTCAAAGAAGCAAGCTTTGCATCTGAGGATGCGGAGCGTGGAGTGGTGGATGAAGAGGAAGAATCTGCCGCAGGGATTCCGGCACCGAGTGAGGCAGTATGAGCGGCAGCGGTGGGCAGCGATGCGAGGTGTTGATGAATGTGAAATGGTGAGAAATCTTCCGGAGGGGCTGCGGAGAGACATCAAATATCATCTCTGTCTGGATCTCGTGCGACAGGTATGAATGAAGAACATTTATATGTTATTGCTTATATTCAAAGAGGCATTTTGACAAACATTTGCTATGCGTGCTAGGTTCCTCTGTTCCAGCACATGGATGAGCTGGTTCTGGAGAACATTTGTGACAGGGTGAAGTCGCTCATCTTTCCCAAAGGAGAAACGGTAAGAAACCACTAATTTCCATCATTAGCCAATGCGCAAAAATCTAATCTTTGCAATACACATATGATTCAGATAACAAGAGAAGGAGACCCAGTGCAAAGAATGATTTTTATAGTTCGGGGACACCTGCAAAGCAGCCAGATGCTTCGCGACGGCGTTAAGAGCTGCTGTATGCTGGGTCCCGGCAACTTCAGCGGCGACGAGCTACTCTCATGGTGCCTACGGCGGCCGTTCGTGGAGCGGCTTCCCCCGTCGTCGTCGACGCTGGTGACGCTGGAGACGACGGAGGCTTTCGGGATTGAAGCGGCGGACGTGAAGTATGTGACGCAGCACTTCAGGTACACGTTTGTGAACGAGAAGGTAAAAAGGAGCGCCCGGTACTATTCGCCAGGGTGGCGGACTTGGGCCGCCGTGGCGATTCAATTGGCGTGGCGGAGGTATAAGCATAGGAAGACGTTGACGTCCCTGTCCTTCATAAGGCCAAGGCGGCCGCTTTCGAGGTGCTCGTCGTTGGGGGAGGAGAAGCTGCGGCTTTATACAGCGCTGCTCACCTCTCCAAAGCCAAACCAGGATTACTTGGATTGTCTTTGATATGGTGGTCGGGTAGTGTTATGGCAACTTACTGTGTGGATGGGTCATGGGTTGCTATTATATGCGCCAAGAATGCTGATTTCATAATATGGTAATAGTAAGTATGTTATTTAGCTTATGGTTTGTTCGGATTAACTTTTATTATTTTTTATTTTTTCAAATATTTATTTAGTATATATTTTTAATCAAAAATAAATTTATATAGGCAAATTTTGAAGAAAAAAAAAAACATCATAGGTGCCAAAAAATAAAATAAAATAAAAATGATGGGATGGGGTTGCTTACGAAGTGAGCATTAGACAAACTATTTATGACTCGGTTCAATTATAGCTCATTCATATTTGTTTAATTAATTATGCTTGAGCACTTTTTTTTTAATAATTCTCGATGATTAAATAAAATTATCTCCAATCAAAAAACTCATTTTCTACTACAAAATGCAGTAATACTTCAAAATACAATAATTAATCTCTAATCGAATTATATTTCTTAGCACAAAAAAGAATATTTCATGTATATTCATTCTCAACCACACACGCTAACCTTCTTCCCTCTGCTTTCTCTATTTCGGCCAAAAAAGTGTTTGTGAACAGTGCAATGCCAATATTGATAATACACTATTCACAAAAGAGAGAATGTCGCTCCTGAAAGAGAGAATGTCGCTCCTTTTGTCGTTCGATTGGAGAAGTTTGCGGACGCCAAACAAGGATACGCAAGAGTTTGATTGGAGATGCATAAGTAAACTTGGACATATGCGTTTAACTCATTTATATTTATGTACAACATTATTTAAAACTCATAAGTAGCCTAAGACAAAACTCAATTTATTTTTTAAAATATATCACTTAAGATCGACTTAAATCTTTATTTGATATATTTTCACATAATTTTTAAAATTTTATCATAACAAATAATTTTTATATTTTATATTATAATATTTCATAAGACATAATTTTTTCATGAATAAAAAATATTTATCCACATATTTGATTGATTGTTTGTTTAAAATGTTTATCAGCAAATTTATTTATAAGAATCATTTTATGGGGCTCATTTAGCAGCTCGAAAATAATGGCTAAAATTTATGAGTTTTCAGAAGCAAGCATTTGATTTGGCTCGTAAAATGAGCTATGGGCATTCCATGACTTTTCGCGTCATGTGGCGGTCGGGATTTGGAGCCTGGACCAGCCTTTTTTCCTTCTCCATTAATTTGCCCAACTCCTCTTTCCTATTCTCTTCACCCCGTGTTCCGCTTCTTCCCGCTCCATACACCGCCGAAGCTCCTCCACCTCTTTCCCGGCGGCCGTTTTCTTCTCCTAGACCGCCATTGACTCTCGAGGCAGACACCAGGAGGTATTTTTTTTTCGATTTATTGTTAGTTTTTTAAAGTCTTTTTGCTGGAGGTTACAGTTTTTTTTTTTTAAAAAAAATTTTGATAAATGTTTCTTGGTCCTTTCTTGAACTTCTTAATGATGAAGTAAAAATTATTTCTGTTAAGTTACTATTTGCGAGCTTGAATGTATTAGCTAGAAATATGTTATGGCGAAATTTTTTAAAGAAAATTTGTATAAATTGAAAGATGATATGGAAAGAATATTATGGAGATCAAATTTATGCTTTTCAATACTTTTCAGTGATAATGCACCCTTCATAAAGCCTGTTACTTCAGTCTTCATTATTAAAAGATGACAAAGAAGATAGTATTTTGGAGGTGATAATGGTTATTTATTTTGTTGCTAGAGTTAATAGAAGACAACTAAAGTAATTATTGAACACATTTATATCAAGTTATGAATATTTTATAGTTATAAGAGTTAGTAATTATTAAACAGACAACTAAAGTAAGTGTTGATTGTTTAATACAAATTAATTTCATAATAAAGACTCATGATCAGTAAAATTTGACTTAGTTATTTCATAATTTTGATATTTATCCATATTTTTTCAATTTCATTTGAACTTTTTAGTTACATTCAAAAATCGATTGCTATAAATAAGATGCTTTAGAAGAGTATTCCTTGGAGTTAAGTTTCAAGCTATTGTTGAGTATAAGTTTTTTTTAATTTTTTTTCATTAACACCTTACTAATCACTACAAATGATTTCGATCTTTATTTTGACATAATTTTATTTGGCTTTATAATGTATTTATATAGTATTCTGTGAAGAACATACTTCTTTGAGTTGCCAATAAATTAATTTCCTTAATCTTGTTTAATTTGTATGAAAAAAATTTTACATTAATGAATAATTTTCACCAATTTACACTAATGGGAGAAATAATCTCATACAAGCTAGTTCCATGACATACAAGATTGGATGAAATAAAATGAGAATTGTTAGATTGCTAAATTATGACATGTCTAGATAGGGGTGTCAATTTTTGACACGATCTGAACCTGAACCGGAAAAATCCGGGTTAGGGTCAACTCGAACCCGAAACGGGTTTGACCAGCAACCCAAAAATGACTCGAAATTGACATGAAAACTCCTATTTGACTCGGAAACCTGAGATTGACCCATTTTTTACCCGAAAATCGGAGATTGACCCAATTTTTGACCTGAAAACTAGCAATTTTATGTCAACTTCGGGTCATTCGTGTCGGGTCGGGTCCGTAAACCTGACCCGTTTTTAAAAACGGATCGGATTCGGGTTGACCCGAATAGTGCCGAGTTAGTTCTGGGTTCGACCCGAACCTGACCCATTGACCCGGGTTGACCCAAATAGTGCCAAGTCAGTTCTGGGTTCGACCCGAACCCGACCCATTGACCCGAATTGACACCCCTATGTCTAGATTCATAGTGAATTGGGTGACTTTTTGCCGGTGTTGCTTTTATTGCATCCCCCCTAACCAATGATGAAGCTTCTAAAGTCGTGTTAAGCAAGGTATCTTGTTAGATGTTGACATTATACATGAAAATTGAACATGCTCATAATGAATTCCGAGCCATGGATAATACTGCACCCCAAAACACAAATAAATCTTACTTTGAGCAAGATGTAGAATTGTCTTAGATGGCTATACAAAGTTAAATAATGACACTCCAATATGTCGATTAGTATCAAGTACCTCTAAATTTGATTTTGCAGATAAACTTATTTGATTTCCTATTTGAGTAAAAATATTTATGTAAATAATCATGTCCTCCCCAATCCATGTTGATCCTATTCTCATAATGCTTCCGGTCCCCATTTGATAACTGTGTCAATGAGGGATATGAAATGGTTAATAGTGCTTTCATTGATGAGTTCAGTGATAGACTGATAGTGCTAATAAACCTGGATCTCACCTTTTGTTGAAGCGAGTCGAAGTGCCTATATTATAGTGTATGATCTTATTTGAGGTTACTCCATTAGAATTGTTAGTATGGAAGAACAAGTGATTTTAAACAATGAATATATTCAATGTTGTTAGACTATGAGAGAGTAGGATAAAGTAGTTGTCTTTGACTGTAATAATCCGATAATTTTTTTAAATAGAAAATCTAAATTTCGGCGACGTGCCTTGCTAAAGAAGAAGAGATTGAAGAGAGATTGAAGAGAGAGAAGGTTGTTTGGGGCTTTTTCATCTGCCAATTTGTTCATAGATTTCTTCTATTTGTTTTAAGTAACTCAAATCTCATTTTAGTTTTCAATGATTTTGATTATTATATAGATTTTTTTGTATTGAATAGAATTGATTATTCTTACTGCATTTTAATTGTGACATATATTTGCATAAGCAAGAAATGTTGGCTTTTAATACTATAAAATGGGTTTGTTATTAAAATATAATATCTTGCACAGGAGTGTAGGTCGACGAGGCGTTTCTTTAAAGATGGTTTGTGGTGTTATCCCGGTTGTAGCATGTAGCAGATGATTCATTACGCCGATGGGTAGAAAGTGATGACTCTTTATTGATTTAATGAAATCACATATAATGATAATTGATTAATTAGATAAATGATAGATGATATGATTGATAAATAACTGAGAATCAATTGGTGTAAAAGATGTTAAAAACATCACGTCAAAGTTGGATGTCCTGCCTTGCTAAATCATATGTTGATGCATGCATACATTGATAGCAATGATGATATTGACAGATACATTAATATCATTAACATTATTGGATGCATTGATAATAAATAAAAATATGATGCATATGAATAGATAAGATAAGATAGATTCCTTTAGTGATTTATGAATGATTTTTGCATCGTTTGTTTTACCGATTTATTGAATTTTATATAAATATTTGGTCATTATATTAGTTTGAGCATTGAAAGCTTTAGTGAGTTTTGGATCAATGCTAGGCTTTTGAGCTAATTTTATGAATTTTAATGATTTCAGGTCAATGAAGGGTTACGATCTGTTAGAATGAGGTTGACAGAGATCCTCAGGTTTTCCTTAGATTTTATTATGCATTTTTTTTATTCTTTTGTAGTCAGGAGTTTGTGATAGATTAATAATAGCATGATCTCCCGGCTAGTGTAAATAAAATTTTGGGTGAATAAAAAGTAAAATATATTGATGTATATGATTTTAATTACTTTCGTTAGTTGTTGTTTATATTTATGTTTATAGAAGCTCTGATATATCGTAAAAAAGATAAATAGAGAACTCATCTAAATTTGATTCTAAGACATTTCATTGACGGACCGTGAGATTGTGCTCCTCTTTATAGAAAACTTATGTCCCAGCTAAGCTCTTTGAAGGTATGAATTTTCTAAGTAAGACGAAGTTGCAATCTGCATTAAATGGTTAGTCCACTATTAATAATGTTGAGTTATAAATTTCTACTCCATTACAAGGAAATTTACTATAATGTACATACAAAATAATTACCCCTCTAAAATATGTATGTGGCATTTACATGGAAATTGTAGCAAATGTTTGAGTAGTGTTTGGAGAATATCTAGTTTGGGCATACAATCCACATACGCAAACTTGTGATAGTCACAGATATTGACAATACAATTTTAATTTTTTTTAGTTTTTCTTTATATTTCCTGTAATTAGATAAGAGATATATCTAAAGCCAAGAGAAATTATTAAATGAAATGAAGCAAAACTCAATGTCAATGTCTTTTATACAAATGCTTGGAATGTGATATGTTAGACAATCAAGACAATTTTTAGTAGCTAATAGGAGTTGTGTCATTTAATTAATTTAATTGTAGAGGCTATGTGTTATATCATGCCTAGTTAAGTTATAGAATACTTTTAAGTGACTCACATCATTTTCAAAAGATTTTCTGATCATTTGGGTCTTTTATAAGAGAAAGTTTATCACCCTCAAACTGACGGTCTAAAGAGCTTGAATCCTGCGAGTTTGCTAAGGTGATGCCTTTGTCTGGAGGATAGTATTTGTGAATGTCAACGATCTTGAAGGTAGCAGAGGTGAGCATGTTGGATGGTAGATCTATGATGTAAGCATTATTGTTAATTTTAGTTTAGAGTGAGTGTTGGGTGGGAACCGTTCTTTCTGTAAGGGAAGCATGACCAACTCGCCAGGTGGAAATCTTGGCTATGGTGGTGACTATCAGCATGTTGTTTGTACTTGTTGTTTGCTTTTATTAATTTTAATTCGACGTCCTTCAACATAGCAGAGAATTGCTCGGCATTTTGAGCTGCGGTAGAGCTGTGGTTCTTGGGAAGAATTGCGATGTCTGCAAGGTGATTACGTATTTTAGTATACACAATTCCAAAAGGGTCTTACCTGCAGACCTGTTAGTCATAGAATTGTAGGTGAACTCTGCTTGACCAAGCATTTCTTCCCACTGTTTTGGCTGTTGTTGTACTAAACAACGCAACATATTGCCAAGTGTTCTATTCACCACTTCAGTTTGACCGTCAGTTTGAGGGTGATAAACTGAACTGAGTTTGATTTAAATATGTAAAAATTTCCCCAACTCATGCCAAAAGTGGCTAACAAATTTAACGTCTTGATTGGAAGTGAGACTGCGGGGCAGCTCATGCAAGAGGACTATCTCTTTGAAAAAAAGACGAGTAATGTTAAGGCATCAAAGAATTTTTTTGCAAGGAATGAAGTGGATCATTTTGGTAAAGAGGTCGGCCACAACCATGATGGAATCAATCTCATGTTTGGTGTTTGGAAGTCCATGCACAAAATCGAGACTCAAATCTTCCCAAATGGAGTTCGGGATGGGTAATGGAAGATATAGACCAATGTTTTGATGAATTCGTTTATATGTTTGACAAACAAAGAAACGTTTGATGAAATGTGAAACATCACGGCATAAGTGTGGCAAAAAAAAATTGTACTTGTAACTGGGACTTTGTGATCTCTGCCCACATGAGATGCCATTCCACCACAGTTTATTTCTTTGATAAGCTGAGGTCTCTAAGACGATTGAGGTATGCAAAGGCAACCTTTAAAGAGGAAACCATGCCTTAGTGTGAAATTCTGCACAGGATGGTTTTAAATGCGCTGTGCCCAGCTTTCAGCAAAGTTCGGATTCGTCTCATATAAATATTTTAAGGTTTGTAATCCAGTAATCTTGGTTTGAAGTTGCGTGAGCAGGGTTGTCTGGCGGCTGAGGGCATCAGCGAGTTTGTTGGATTTTCCTGCTTTTTGTTGAAGTACATAAGTAAATTTTTTGGGGAAAACTACCCAATGGGCATGCATTTTGTTTATGTGTTTTTTATTATTAATTTATTGGACTGCTTAATTATCAGTACATAATACAAAATCTTGATGTAAAAGATAATGCTCCTACTATTTTAAAGATCGAATGATGCTATAGAGCTCTTGCTCATAAGCGGAACACCTTTGATGAGCATCGCTTAAGTTTTCGCTGAAGAATTCAGTGGGTCTTTTCTCTTGTGACAAAACAACACCGATTCCAATGGGTGATGCATTTGTTTCAACTACGAATGATTTATCAAAATTTTGGAAAAGCCAAAATTGGTGCTGAGTTAATGGCGCTTTTATTGGCTTCAAAACTTCGTTGTTGAGTTGGAGACCACTTGAAGGAATGCGAGTTTAAACAATTTGTGATTGGGGCCATTAATATACTAAAGCCTTTAATAAATCTCATGTAAAAATTAGCTAGACCATGAAAACTTCGAACATCAGATAAAGATTGAGTAGGTCATTCCGTGATGGCAGATACTTTGCGGGGATCCATATGAACCCCTTCCTGTGAGATCTTAAACCTAAGGAAATGAACCATGGAGGTTGCAAATTCGCATTTGGGAAGGTTTAAGAATAATTTGTATCGACGGAGACATTCTAGGATTTGTGTCAGATGCTCCAAATGTTCACTCATGGAATTGGTGAAGATTAAAATGTCGTCAAAGTATACAATTGTTGACCTCATTTTTGTATGAGGTCACTCAGGCCAATCCTGACCCTAGATCCATTCAGATTCCAGATCAATCCTGATCCCAAGCCAATCCATATCTAAATTTAATTCAAGCCTTGAAAATCCAAAATCCAACCCAGTTCAGAACTCAGACTCCAGTTCAGGTATTGATCCTACCTGTGAGTTAGCTCTGATCCTATCCAGTCATTAATAATCACCCAAATGATTATAGATGATTTGGATACTCAAACTTAATCAATAAAACTCAAAATCTAGATCAATTCCAGAAGCCTTGTCCTAAAGGCCTTTTCCAGTGAATTTTCAAACACTTCAAAACCCTATCAAATGACCTCTGATTCAAGGTCTGTCAGTTATGAACCTCATAAAGGTGGGCGGTGCATTGTATAGCCTGAAGGGCATGACCTTTCACTCATGTAATCCTTCTACTTGTCTCTAGAGGCTACTCTCCAAATTTGAGCTCATTTTGAGGTCTCTAACCCCAGAATCTAAATCAAAATCCAAAGGCTGTAAAACCTTCAAATATTTACGGCCTATGCCACTAGACCTATCACCTTGAAGATTCTGACATTAGAGCCTTCACCAAAGCCTCTAGTCACTTCCAGATCATTAATCCTGATATGTTGAACAATAAACTGAATTTTTCCGGACTCATCTCAGCCCCAATGAGCATGAGCTCAAAAATGACCAAAATACCCCTATGGGGTTCAAATATTGATTTCCAACCAAATGAACCCCGAATTGAATGCAACCACTTCCAGCAAGTTTCAAATGTCATTTCAAACCTGTTGGACCCATTCCCAACCCCTGGGTCAAGCTGGTTGACCAAGTCAACAGGTTTGACCAAAGGAGCCCTTTAAGGGTCCAAATAGGTGTTTTGAACCAAATGACCTCCCCAGACCTTAGGACTATATCCAATAGACTCTAAATATCATTTGAAATTTATTGAACCCATTTCCAGACCCTGGACCTAGCTGGTTGACCAAGTCAACCAATTTTGGCTTAAGGGCCCATTAAGGGCCCATTAAGTCTTCTTGACCTAAATAACCTACATAAACTTTGGAATGGCCCTCACCACCACCCATGACATTCTCCTAGTC